CAAGGGGGAGCGCCAGTGCCTGGCCGAGGCCGAGCCGGGCGAGCAGCCGCCGGCCGAGCTGGAGGAGGAGGCGGCCGCCGAGGCGACGGGGCTGAGGCGCGAGCAGCAGCGGCTGTGGCACTTCTTCGAGATCTCAGCCACCGCCGTGGCCCAGCTCTACAAAGATTCCGGGTGCCAACAGTCAGGACTGTCCTTGTGGGACCCCTTCCAGAACGCGGCCATGGCCGTGACCAGCCTGTACAAAGAGAGCGTGGACGCCCACCAACGAAGTTTTGAGCTGGGCGTCCGGGTTGGCCGCCAGCGGCGCATCAGGGACGTGCTGGAGTGGGTGCAGAAGGGCCGGAGCATCATTCGCCGGGAAGACCTGATCAGCTTCCTGTGTGGCAAAGGGCCGCCCGCCCCGCCCCCGCTGCGCCCCCCGCCGCGCCCCCCCAGGACAGCCCCGAAGCTGCCGGCCGGGGCGCCCGGCCAGCCGATGGCCACCGAGGCCGGCTCCTCGGTAGCCGTCGACCTGCAGCCCTTCCACGAGGCCGTCGCTCTGCACGGCCTCAGCGGGGCCATGGCGAGCGTCAGCGTGCGGGCTGGCGCGCCCGGCTCCCCGCCACATGACCCCGGCGTGACCTGCGGGGCACGCCGAAAAGTTAGCTTCCTTGACGACAACTTGAGCCCCTTCGACCCGGAAGAACTGGCCCTGCGCCTGGACAGTGCTGGGACCCGCAAGCGCACCTCCTCGCAGTGCGGCGACGGCATCTCGGATTCTCTGACCCAAAAGCGCAACCGAATGGTCTAAACAGCCGAAGGGTAAACCACCGCCTTCGGTCGCCAACCGCCATATTGTTCGAGAGCCGACTCGACCTTCAACATGCTTGTGGACAGGGTACTCCAGACCATCTCTCTCCCTTCTCTAAGTAACTTAAACAGATTTCTATACGTTTCGCCATAAAGGAACTTTGCGAGTGTTCCAGAACAGGCCTCACGTGACTTTCTGAAAAATACCCTCCTAGCAGAGAGTATCCAGTATCATCTAGTAGTTAGCCAGATCCTTTGAAGCCTAAGTGTCTGGTCAAGGTGTGGGCCTGGGTTATATTGTTCAAGTTACGTTCTTTAGCACCTAGCACAGTTGCTGGCGCTCAATAAATGTTTGTTGAATGAATACATGTGACCTTATTTAAAATCCTTAACGGGGATAGAAGTAGCAGTTGTGTACTTAAGTGGGGCTTCTAACCTGGGACCGGTTTGCCCCCCTGCTGAGAATTTCATTTCCACCCCACATAGACTGAATCAAAATCTACAAGATCTTTCACAAGATCTCCAGTGATTCTTAAAGGTGAACCTGAACGAACCGGTTCAAAGCCCTGGTTATAGGATACCTTTATCCTTTCTTGCTTGTTTGGTTGTTTACTTGAACAGGTTTTGCTAGTTCACTTACATTATATCAAAATGTAAGAGTGGACATCTTTGTGAAATCTGTAGTCTTCTATTTTTACTCCACTGTACCAGGCACTTAATTTCTAGAAAGAAACTGTGCAAGTAATACATATTAGACTCTGTATTTTTTATGTTGAAAAATAGTTGGTGATTCTGGTGATTATGTGATGGTATAAAAAGGTGCTATGGTGATTGCCCAGTGTTGAGTCAATGCAACGATCTTTCTTAGGAAAACTAGATCAGCTGTTGAGATCCTGATAAATAAGTTATCATTGGTGGCCCAGTGAAGCTCCTTTTTCTTAGGAATGTAAAAGTTCCTTTTGCTGAAGTCACATCTTTTTGGAGATCTCTGTTCCAAAGTGGAAGACCAAGTACTTAAAATTAACTCAGGGTCGTTATTTAAGGATACAGCACAGCCACGTGTAGCTAAAAGCCCGCAGGCTTGGTACTGGAAGCACCAGTGGTAGAAGCCACGAGTTCTTGGCATGGTTTTGGGCAAGTCAGTTAATGGCTGTTGGCTTCAGTTTTTTCATCTGTAAAATGGATCTTTGTGACCCCTAAGGCCCTTGTAAGGATTAGATGAGGTCCATATTTCAAATGTCTAGCACGGTGCTCAGCAACGAAAGGTACTCAGTATTCTCCCTTCTCAGTAAATAAAAATCAGTAGAACATTAAAAACCACTACATTTTAAAAACAGCCACAAAGTAGATTAATAATCTCAGGAACAGAACCGTGTTTAAACTCCCCTCCCCATCCCAAGAGGGGGAGGCCTTCAACAAGATGGTTTGACACGGTGGCTGCGATGATGGGCTCAAGTATAGCAGGGATTGTGGGGCTGGCGCGGGATCGGGCAGTGTTTCGTTCTGCTGTGCATGGGGTCGCTGTAAGTCGGAAATGACTCCACGGCACTTAACAACAACAACAACACCCCATTGCTGTGTAGTCAATTCCAACTCATAGTGACTCGTAGGACGGAGTAAAAATGCTTGTAGGTTTCCAAGGCTGTCTGTCTTTACGGAAGCAGACTGCCAAATCTTTGTTCTGCATAGTGGCTGATGAGTTCAAACCTCCAACCTTTCAGTTAGTAGCTTAGTACTTAACCACTGCACCAGCATGGCTCCTAGTGCTTGTAAACAACTATTGTATGATTGAAACTTGATTAATTAACCCAGATCTCGTATTGATTGCAAGTGTGTTTAGCTTTTAAGTGCCTAGGATCAGCACTGGGGCAGTCTTGGAGTCCCTGAAGTTGCCTGGGGCCTGAACTTTGCAACTAGGGGTAAGGAATAGCCACTTCCTCAGGCTTGAAATAATATGGGGAGGAGGGTGAGGGTGCAAAGAATTTGGAACTGAAGGTCCTTCTGGACAGGGGTGGGGTGAAGTGAAGGTGATAAAGGGAGTTGGGATGGAGCATGTAGGGGTTGAGATTCCCGAAAGAAGAGGGAAGTGCAAATGCCTGAATCTTCCCAGGGTCTCCTAAAACCAGTGCACAAAATACTGTTGATAGATTAGTAACCCTTTGGGTTTATATCAGTGTTTCTGTGTCATTCATTTGAGTAAATTTGTAATGGACCCCCAAAAACCTATTGCCTTCCAGTGGAGTCCCACTCATAATGATCCTATAGGATAGAGTAGAACTGCCCCACAGGGTTTCCAAGGCTGTCAGTCTTTATGGAAGCAAAGCCCAAACCGAACTCGATGCTGTGAGTGGATTACTACTCAGAGTCCCTAAGAACAGAGTAGAACTGTCCCAGAGGGTTCCCAAGACTGTCAGTCTTTACGGAATCAGACTACCTTAGCATAGTGCCAGACCCATATAGCTGGTGGGTTCGAAACACCGACCTTTTGGTTAGCAGCCTAATGCTTCAACCACAGCGCCCCCAGAGCTCCTTTTAATGGGCCACAGCATTAAAATCATACAACAATATAAAGTGACTTCCTTGATAGAATAAAAACTTGCTCCTGAGTCACTCCACAAATGTTTATGGAGGCACTGGGCTAAGGGCCTGTGGAGAATCCAGGAAAGCACGGGAGCAGCCCTTGTCCTTAGAAAGCTAGTTGGGCTGGAAAGCTAAATGATGTCACCAAGCATGCACTGCTAATTGCACAGGAGGCGCCCAGGGGCTGTGCAGAGGAATTCAGAGGGCAGACTTCCCCCTTGCTGAGATTGTCACCGCTGCCACAGGAGGTGGTATTTGAACTGGACCCAGAAAATGGGTAGGAAGGGAGAGTGCAGGGGATTCCAGCGAGAAAGAATACCTAACGATGTTTGAGAAGCAGTAAAGTAGGGTCAGTGGCTATAGGAGCTGGGTAGAGGAGGTAGAGGTCGAAGTATAGGGGTCCTGTACTCCTATACGGGAGCCAGTCCGGTAGATTTCATCCAGCCTGTGCTTACTTGAAGATGCCCAGCTGCCCAGCAGCGAGACCCTGGATCAGGGACTGCTTGGATATCCGCAGAGGATGCTTCTTACTGGGGATGTTATCATTTGGTTGATTCAGCTTGGGGAGATGTTATCTTGCTTTCTCTAGAAAGCCATTTCTCATCCCCTCCCTCCTGTACCTCACCAAAATTGGATGCACCTCCAGGATGCACTCTGGGATACTTCTTGAAGGTTGAGAAAGCCTTCATTTCCAGTCTTTTGTAGGGCTTGTCTTGAAGGAACAAAGCACCCTGCTTTTGATGGTTCTTTTTGCTTGTGCATGAGTTCCCTGGTCCAGCTGAGTCATTGGCATTTGGGGCTACAGGACTGACAGAGCAACTGCAGTAATTTTAACAGGTAGGTAGGGACAATTGGATGATGGCCTGTCAGTGTGAGGGTAGGGGCCTCCTCTGTCTTGTTCCTTCTGTAATTCCTAGTGCTTAGCATAGTGCCAGACCCCTATAGGTGTTCAATAAATAGTCATGACGTGGGTGGATGAGTAGGCACTTCATCCAGACCCAGGTGGAGCCATTCCCCTTCCTCCTTTCTCTGTTGACTCCATCCATTGTCATCGAGTTGACTCTGACTCGTGACCAGCCCACTTGTGTCAGAGTAGAACTGTATACCATAGGGTTTCCAATGGATGGTTTTTCAGAAGCAGGTTTACAGGCCTTTCTTCTGAGGTACCTCTGATGGACTCAAGTCTCCAACCTTTCAGTTAGCAGCCAAGTGCGTTAATCACCCAGGGACTCCCTCTATTCACTTATGGCCCAGGAAAGCACCTGAAGCACATGCTCCAATTTCTAGTTGATTCCCCACCCCCTTTACCCTCTTCCTGATTCTTAGATTCATTCAGCATTCACCAAGTATGGTCAGTCCAGGGCTTTGAACCAGTTCACTACAGTTTGACCCCCTCCTGAGACTTTTCCTGTCTACCTCCAATATCTGGTAGGCTGAATCAGAATCTACAGGTATAAATGTAGACAGAATCACCGGGGGATCTTGTTTAAATGTAGCTTCTGATTCAGTCTCTCTGGGGTAGAAATGAAAATTCTCAGCAGGGCGCCACACTGGAATGGACGGGTTTGAAGTCCTGCTCCCTTCCCTGTACTTCCCTTAGTTATAGTGTGTGTGACTTTTCATTAATATGTTGATGGTTGGGTGAGGCTGGGGCATTTGTATGGTGAAGCCATTCTGGCATGGCATGCATACTCTTTTTACCGTGTCATGTTTATTTGGGAGAGCTGTGGAGTTATGCCTTCAGGGAGCACAAATCACCCCTTCCCACCACCACTAAACTCTAGTCTTCAGCCAAATTGGACCACTTGAAGTCTCCTGAACTTTATATCATCTCTTGCCTCTGGGCCCTTTCCCCTCCCTGCTCCCTTGGTCTGGAATGCCCTGCCCTGACTCTCTCTTTGCTTGAGTAATTTCTACTCAGAGTCCCTGGGTGGTGCAAATGATTAACAGACTCAGCTGTTAACCAAAAGGTTGACAATTCGAAGCCACCCAGAGGTGCCTTGGCAGAAAGGCCTGGCGATCTCCTTCTGAAAACTTGGCTGCTGAAAACCCCATGGAGCACAGCTCTGCTGTGACACGCATGGGGGCGCCATGGCTGCTGTGAACTGGCATTTAACTACTGCTCAGCCTTCAGAACACACCTCAGGCCTGACATTTTGTAGGGTATCTTCCTTGCCCCAATGAGTTGGGGTTAAATGCCTCCCGGAAGTTCCCACCTTGGACTTACCTCCATCACACTTGTCACTGTAATTGTCAGTTTGTGTCTTAGTCTGCCCCTCTAGACTTTAAATTGGTAATTCTCATTCCAGGAGCCTCCGTCTCCTAGGGAGGTATGGAAGGATTCCAGGATGGCATATGTTGGTTGAAAAAGAAAATTCAATCTTACACTATACTTTTTGGGTTTTTATGTGTGTCTCTTCA